ATGAATCTGAATTGATTAATTATAAATATCTACTATTCTCTAAACACTCTACTTTTCTTAGAAATTCTATAACATCTGCTTCAACATCTAAAAATAGGTGGTCTGTTCTATCTAAACTTCTACATAAAAAATCCTCTCACTCATCTTTTTCTGCTCAACAGTTTCATGACTTTTTTGTGAATAAAATTAATTCTTTAAGAACATCTAATTCTAATTTTTCTTCTCATAACTTTACTAAACTTACTACTGAATCTTTTTCTGTATTTACTCCAATAAATCTTTTAGAACTAACTAAAATTATTAATTCTATGTCATCTACATAAAGAATTTTCTTCAATATTTTATCCAATCATTTTCACACCAGTTGATCATTCTTCTTCCACTGTCATTTATGTCTGTATGAAAGCAATAATTCCTGACAACTCACGGATTTGCTAGGGTTTATAGAATGACTGTCTTTCCTAACTCTTGTATTGAAGTCTCCAGCAAAAATAGTAATAACTTCAAACATGAACATGCAACCAGTAAACATTTTAAATAACAAAATATAATGAAATTGAAAACCTATTAATTTTTTTAATACAATTAAATAAAAGAATCAGATAATAATGAGCAGAGTATGCAATGGTGCTTTAAAAATTAATATTGCATGAATGGCACAAGATATTATCACACTTATTCATTGTCAAATTGTAATGTGCAATAATAAATATATCAATTTATTTATGTCTCCACTCTCATGTATGATCAGAAGTTATTGGATGATGAAGATTTACATTTAAGGAAGATGTGAATTCAAATTGCTGCTTTGATATTAGAACTTATTTGAAATTTAATTGATATTCATGTGTTAAGAGTTTTGTTCTTATTCACTCTCAAAGTATTTCTCAGAGGTAGACATAACATGTATGGAATATAAAGTTTAACAGCACATTATCAAGTCAGACAGTTTCAATCCCAGCAAACAGTAAATAATCCCTAAAAGTGAATAACTTTAAACATGAATGTCAGACAATCCACACTACAAGCTTGAAACCAACCAGCAAACATGCCAACCAAAAACTGCATCAAAAATGAACCATGGTTTGTTGAAACCATATAGATAGATTTAAACATTATCAAAAACAAATATGTAGCATATATTTCCTAAAACTATTTCTTTTATTATAAAAACTCTTAAGCATATATAATTATTTTTTATTTATTGTAAAAACAGTCTAAAATAAATTTAAATAACATACTGAGAAACAAACCTGCAGCTCACACCAGGCAACATGAACTCCAGTTTCAGTATCCAGACCTTTGAAAACCGCTTTAAAAGATCCGTGACCAATCTTTACATCAAATTTTAAAAATCTCCCACTTGGAGATGTTGCTACAACCTTCTCTTCCTCAGGTTCTTTCTCAATAAATTCTTCAATCTCTTTCTCCAATTTACGAGGTATGTCAGACTCTTCGTCATCACTCTCATCTTCATCTTCTTTGTATGTTGACTGACGTTGAATAGATCTTGGCATCTTTCTTTCACCCATAACATCATCATGAGTTTGAGCATCATCATCAATGAAAACTTCTGAAACATCTTTAGATTGGTCATCATTTTTACTTGTTGTGGCTGATCTACTTATACAATCACTGATTCTGTCAAAATCTTTTTTACTTCTGACTGTGGAATTGTTTTCATCATCTGAAAAAACATTTAAATCATCTTTATCATCCACAACTTGCACCTTTTTCAATGATTTTGCTTTTAATGAATCTTTGCTGGAAATGTTAAGATTTTTCAAAAAACTAATTCTGGTTGATTTTAGCACAGGTTGTAAATCTTCTGAAACTGAAATAGTATGGTTTCTTGCTCTTAATCGATATTCTGTAGGTCCAGAGCTATTTGATTCCACAGCACCAACAGACCGATATCTTGGCCTGGTCTTTGAATTAACAGATTTGCTAGATGAGATACTGGATGATATAGCAAATGGTAAAGTATCGATAGTTAATTTATCTAAAGATGCCAAATGGGCCTCATTTTGCAACGATTTTTTTGAAGTAATAGAAAAACAAAAATTGTTTGTTTCAGTAGGAGTAGTGACTGGAAAATACTGAGATTTATAGTTTGAAGATGACTTATTGTTTGTTGAAACATTCACTATGTTATCATACAACTTTCTTTGAATTGCTATAGAAGATGATTTGTCGTTTGCTAAAACAGGTTTGCAAGTAAATCTACTTTTTTTTACTTCCTTTTTCAAAATATTAGGGTTATTTAAGCTTTCATTCGAAATTATACTTATTTCTGGCTTCTTAATATCTTTATCAACACTACTTTCTTCACTCCTTTTAGATTTCAGTGAGTTATTTATAAAACACCCGCCTTCTTTGAACACATTATTTCCCATATGACATAATTCTTGATCATTTTTAACTACATTATTTTCGATTTCTGAACTTTTGACAAGTCTTATGCTATTTACATCCTTATTTACATCATCTGTTGAGTCTAAACCATTGATGTGATTAGAAGAGTCAATTTGTTTTTTGCCTTCATTGGAAGAATTTGTCCCTCCATTTTCCGTCGAACTATCCAAATTTTTTACTGATTCGTGTGACATTTGAAAAGCCCACAACAAAAACAACTACAATTACAACTCTACCACAAATTATAGGCATATGATCGTATCGTAATATTACAATAACATAAATACTTAATTACAAAATTAAATTAATAATATTTAACACTTTTATATTATATTTATTTTATTTATTATTAACAAATTGGTTCATTCTTCTTCACTATCTATTTTAATTTTTAAATTATTTACAGTAACTTATTAACTATAAAATGATTATCATCCAAAGACTCACTTTACCTAAAAAGACAGTTGTTCTATGTACATTTTATTTTTAATTTTATAAATTATATAAATTAATTATCAATTAATATACTGTTTAAGTGTTTGTTTACTTAATAATGCTAATCTAATTTATTTATAATGTATTATATAAATAAATATTAATAAATTATTAATATATAATATATATAATATATAATAATAATTATGTATTAATAATTTATTTCTTAATAATTTTATTTAATAATTTAAAACTAAACAACAATTTATTAGCCTTACGTAGATTTGATCGAAATTATACGCGAGAGACCCCGGTATTACAATACTTGATAAAGGACAGGGCCTTTCGACGAAAAAGTAAATTAGCGTAAAATTAAGAAGACTGAAGAGTAAGAAGAGTCCGTGTGTGTGTTGTGTGTGTGTTGTGTTGTAGATGTAGATTGTAGAGTCGACTCACTAAACTAAATGTAAATCGTGCAACTTAATAATGTAAAAAACCTAAAAAATAACTGAAACAAAAAATAAAAAATATATTTATACAAGTGGCTTATTTTATTTTTAAAAAATTAATAAATTTAACAGCACTTTAATTTAACTCATCCGTATAGAAGGAACGACATCCATATTGGCACTTAACATAGACTCAATATTATTATTATTGTTGTTGCAGCTGGTATCGTTATCATTTTTAACAACATGTTGGCATGTGACTGTTTATTAAAAATATTGGTAATAAACGCATCAAACAATTATAGCGAGGCTGTTTGCCGAAACGTTCAACTGTATTGTGTTGTTTTTGAAAACAAAATTAAAAATCTTGAAATTTTTAATTATCAATGTATGAATTGAACTATAACACAAAAACAAAACGTTAATCTGAAAATAGCTGACTAAGCTGAATATTAGGGTATGGTATAAGCTATAATTTATATCTTAAAGCTGCTGAACTATAAATAAACACGAAAAATAGGGTGCTGATTTTTTTACCATACGTGAAGATTTTCGTCATCGTGTAGCACAGGGGTAAAAACGAAAAAAGATTTTTATTCATTAAAAAATCAGACTGTACTGGACGGGAAAGCCCGTTTTTTTTGTTGGATTATAGAAAGTTAAACGAAGCAACCCGAAACCGTAATTATCCGCTATCAAGGTTTGATGGCATTTTAAACACTCTATCCGGTTCGTGTTTGTTGTCTACGTTAGGCTTGAAGAAGTGAAGGTCGATAAAAGCATATAGGTAACGCCATTTCCGATTTGTATTAATTTAACGTAATGCCATTCGGGCTATGCCAGCCACCTTCGAATGGTTAGTGTAATGGGTATTAGGATATGGGATTTTACCTGGAAGGCGTGCCTTATCTGTTTTGTCTATCTAGATGATAAAACTGTTTTAGGCAAATGTTATAACTGTTTTTGCCACGTTAAGAACTTACGAGATATAATTTACGAGACTTCAGTGGCAAATGCAAACCTAAAGCTGAACATTACAAGACTAATCCCTGAATCAGATATTTAGAAGATTAGGCGCCATTGGCCTAATGATTAAGATTCCAAGTGATTAAGGTTCCATGGTGCTGTTTCGTATTGCGTACAGTGACCGGGTTTGAATATGACTAAGATTACCGCCTATCACATGCATTGTGTGAGATGCGTCGTTTAGCATGCCCCTACGCTATTTGTGTGTTATAGATTCCCCTTAACCTTAAATATTTTTTAATCGTTACATCTGTTTTGACTAATGCGGACAGTTTAAAGCGAGTGGCCTGAAGTGTATTTGATACTAAATCAAAAAGCACATATCGCTGTGGAGAAATCTTGAATATTTTTTCATTAATTTCAGGCTGTCTAAAATAATTTAGTAGCTTGTTCCACACAGTTGATCTGTCAATACATAACAACTAAATAAATATTTATTTTAGATACCAGTTGCTATGTTCAAATTTGGAAAATTTTCATTATACGTTGACCAAGTCTAAAGTGATTTCCAACCATCCGTTTGTCTATTTCAATCAAACCAAAAAACTATCAACTGCAAAATGAAATTCATTGCTTGACCGTGTCACATTTATTTGAATATCATCTGCAAACGCATAACTTGCATGACCATTTGACTTGATTACGTCTAAAACTTGAAAGGGTACAAAATGAGCGAACTTTGTTCAACAACTAAGACTTTTGAAACGTTAAATGTTAATTTATGTCAAATTCAGCCTTTCAGCGAAAATGCTACAATTGACACAGTCGAAAGCTGAACCTATGTCTGAAAACTCCGAAAAGAGTGTTTTTGTGTATGTATTCATTTATCTCAGATAACATCTGCATAGAGCAGTCTTAATAGAGTGATATCTTTTATGGCCCATCATCATCCATCCATCTTCGTTTTGCATCTAGAGACCCGGTTCCCCGAGGTAGGACGTTGTTTTCTTTGCCATCAACTTTTTGCGCCAAATTAGACGATCAGTTGTATCCATTTCATTTAAATTTAAATTAAACTTCAACATCTGCAAGAGAAGTTATGGCACTGTTTCCACTTCGTTTGACATGACCAAACCATCGCAGACGGTGTTGTCAGCATTCGTCCTTCATATCATCTAAACCAGCACGACGCAGGATTTCAGTAGATTAGATGTGGTCCTTCAGACTAATTTGTTGCATCCATCGGATCATTTTCATGTCGGTTCGTTAAGTTGTTGTTCCAGTTTGGTTGTCATTGGCTATGTTTCTGCACCATATAACAACACCGGACGTATTACAGATTTATATAGTCTTGATCGTAGTGGTAGTGGGATGTCACACCGCATCAATATGGATGCAATGAGATGCCATTTATTCCAGGCTGCACGTATGCGTACTCGAATGGCAGCTTTAGCTGTTCCAGTACAATCCAGAACATCCCCTAGATGTTGAAACGATGTGACTTTCTTTATCTTAATGGCTTCAAAAACAGTGCTATTTTGAATATGTTGTTGTGGATTGATGCAAGCAAAAGAAACAAAATTGGACACTTTAGATAAAGTACCAATTATTTTTGAACAACGTTTGTGACACCATTGGTTACACTGCTGACATTTGATTGATTTGTTATCTACACCAGTTTTACAAACTGAACAGGGCCATCGTCCAGTAGCTGTGGATTGGATGGGTTCACCAGTGTTCATTGCTTTGGTTTTGCTGATGTTGACTTTGAATTAATGATCGGCGAGTCTGGTGTTCTAATCTTCAAACATCTGTGCTGCATTCTGCTCAGACGTGGCTGTTAAAACGATATCATCAGCATATACTAGATTCCAAATACCAGTGCGTGTCTGTTTTATGATTTCTTCCATCACAGTGATAAATAACAGTGGACTAAGAATCGAGCCTTGGTGAACTCCAACGCCGATGTCAAATGCATCTGTGTTTCCAAACGTTGTATTAGTATGCATTTCCATTACAAGATAGATACATTACAAAATATTCTGAAATGAGTTGTCGACGTAGACTCCACCTGATTGCTTCACGGGGAACTCGATCAAATGCTTTTTCAAGGTCTACAAAAATGTGTGATCGTTGTTGATGCTTTGCGAGGTACTTCTCTTGCAGTTGCCGAAAAATGTTAATTGCATCAATTGTTGATTTCCCCGCTAAAAACCAAATTGATAATTTCCGATTGTGATGCACGACGTTAATCTTCTCTCAATGATTTTTTGGACAATTTTCAGGGAGTGTTCTAACAGACGTATACCCCGATATGATGAACAGTTCAATGGATCACATTTGCCTTTGTATAGCGGGACTGTCATGCTATAGTTCCATTCAGTTGGCATTGAGCAATTTCTCCACACTTTACGGCAAAGTTGTAGTAACGTTTGGATACCAGCAGTACCAGATGCTTTGATAATGTCATTTGTGAGTCCAGAGGGCCCTGCTGCCTTTCTATCTTTCATAGCTTTCAGAGCTTCTGTTAGCTCCTCTAAAGTTATGTCTGTAATCGGACCTTCGATGGGTGGAGTGTCAAAGTTAACATTGATGGGATTTGTTTCGTTTAACAGACTGTTGAAGTATTCTCTCCACTGTAGCTTAATCTCATCTTGTTCAAGAACCATATCATTTTTGTCATTTTTGATACATGAGGCACCAACTGTCTTTTTTCGTACCCTTTGTTTGTTTTGCTATACGATACAGAGATTTCATTTGTTCACCTTTGTTTTTAGTGAGCCACTCTCTGCACTAATCTGTCCGAACCAGTGCGACTTGACGTCTTGCATAGTTGTTTTTCTCACGGAAAATTTTATGGTCATCAACAGACTTTGATTTTTGGCATTGCTTGTATGCAGCTTTCTTTTCAGCTATTGCATTTTGTACACTGTCATTCCACTACTAATTTTCCCGTTCATGCTCATATTATCATCATCATATACAGATTGCTCACGTCTATGCTATAAGCATGGCGTGTTTTTATTTTTGTTCGGTTTTTAGTGCAATATTTTTCATATACTAATTACGTATTTTTTTGTAAATTCTTGTTTTAATTTTTAGTATCAACATAATTTTATGTTTAATCATGTTATTTTAATAGAAATGAAGAAATGTTCTTGGCTATCGGACTTATTTATGAACCTACTATAGCTCTCCATTTTTTAAAATAAATTTTAACATGGTCACAAAATACTCATCGGATCAACTTATCAACATCCGTCAAAACATGACTCAACTTCAACTTTATTCTTCAAAAACACTACAAAATACTCTTTTCAAACTGAAAATTTGGCGACCAAAATCAGACTTTTTTTACTTCAACAATCTAAGATCAAGTAGTCATCATATAAATGCAAGATCTGCTGTGAATAAAGCTCCACTGTTGCATGATATCATGGCAATCACAGAGACTTGGGTTTCAGATAACTCACCGCCAGCAATCAAACAAGACATTGCTCCTTCAGGTTTTGCAGTCGTTCATCAGCATTGTCAATCAAAAAAAGGTGGAGGCATTGCTCTTATTCATCGTAAAAATATAAAGTGTTTATAAGTTGAAACAAATAAATTTGAATACACATCCATAAAAATAGTCAAACTTCTGTCAGCTTAATAGCAATATACAGATCTCCTGACCCAGTTAAAAACAATTTTATTGATGAAATGTCTCAGCTCATTGAGTCAGAACACAACAACAACCACAACCAAAAGGTGTTTATTTTTCAATGCTCCAAATGATGCTATATTTATTAATATAAACTTCAAGAAATAATTGATAAACACAATCTTCATCAACACATAACATCACCAACTCATGATAAAGGCCACATCTTAGATTTACTAATTACAACTAAATATATTGTAAACCTCATTTCCAAAATAACAATAAAGACAACAATTTATTTCACGCTTAATATTCCTAAGCTAGATCCAACTTTTAAGTTAATCAAGAACAGAAATCTCAAAAAAGTCAATTGGACTAAATTCAACAATGACCTAGCTAATTCAACAATACTAGAACAAAATAATTTTTCTGTTGATCAATACATCAATAATATAATAATTAATTCCCTCAATAAACATGCTTCAGTAAAGACAAAAACAGTACGATTAAGCAGTTCTCACTATCAATGTCAGCTGTCAGACAAAGCAATTCATTCAAAAAGAGCAAGGAGAAAATGTGAAAAAAAATACTTTCAATCACATTCACAATTTAACAAAGAAGCTTATGATTTTGCAAAACTGGTTGCTCACAATGAAATATTAGAATCAAGATCTGCATTAATTAAAAAAGAACTGAACAGTTCTAGTAACTACTAACATCTATGGCGCAATCTTAACAAAATTCTGCATCAACAACGAATTTATAACAACATTTTTCATAGACAAGATCAAAAATATAAATAAGAATATCAACAATCATCTTTCAAAAATTATCTGATTCTCACAATGCAGCTACAACTTTTGAATCATTTTCAAGTTTACAGTTAGTAACCTATCTGTGTGTCAAACATCTTGGCACATCCACAACATATCAATTTGAACACCGAAGATGGTATAGGAATACCGAAAAAAGCTTTTCTGTTCTATCATGCATAAAATAAACAAAAATTTTGGTTTTGGAAGTTTATATATATATATATAAATAAATAAATATATATATATATACTATATATCAAAAAATATATATATATATATATCAAAATATATATATCGCCTTCAACAGGCGACGATCGACAAAACATAATTTGCAAATTCGTATTACACTTTATTTATTGTTTTCCAATAAATTTTTTAATTATTAGCTAAACTGACTAAAAGTCTCACAAAAAATAATTCTTATAATTTCTCGTGCATTTATGTTTCCGAAAACTAAATATATTAATCTTCTAGATTAATATATTTGTAGCTGTCAAATTTGTGTATGTGGCTGCAAGATAAATTTATTTAAATTTTTTGTATTACTAACTCTGTTAAATATTTTTTTTCACTTCAAAGAAACAAACACATGCAAAAGTTTTTCGACGACCGGTAACTTTTAAAACATTTCTCGTCAGCTGCACCGTTGCTGTATGCCCATTCATTATTATTCATGATTGCAAAAAGTTCGGTGCACGCAAACATGAAGCAATGCATTTATTTTGCATGTATTCATAATATATACACGTTTATATATTTAAACGAAAAAAGTAAGTGTATGCTTCTATATTCATTCATATATGCAAATATGCAAAAAACGTTTGAACGCCTTATCAATATAACTTCTTCACGGAAGACAATGATGTATTTTTTAATTAAAACATTTGTTTGTTTATCAACGTTTTTTATGCTTATTGTTCATACTGAAGATTCATTGAAACCAAAACCAAGGTACGCATTATATTAAACTAAACAAAGTTATTTTTATAAATCATTCTTCTTTTTCAAATGTTGACAAATACTATTTAATGATTGTAAATATAAATGTTAAATTGAGATAAAGGCGATGTGGTCTGCTTTCAAATATTTCAAAATTAAAAATTACGCCACGGCTAATGATCCAGCTAATTTAAAATGTTGATATATTTGCAAACCTTCCCAAAACATTTTTGTAATTACGAATTTGTATGCGTTAAAATCTGAGCTTTTATGAATGAATAATATATATTATTTCATTTCATATCACAACGTAATTTCAATGAATTGGAAAAAAATGTTTTAAAAAATAAATTTCAACAATCCCGAACAAACTGTCAAATAACGCAGTCGAAGCTAATCATTTTTATTATTTTAAAATGAGATTCTATGATCTAATGAATAATTTTGATTTTATCAGTGTCGAAGTCGGATGAAAATTATTCGATTCCGACGCCTCAAAAAATTCCGACGCTGGATAAAAACTTCTGACTCCTACAATCGACTCCCGATTCCGACTCCCAAAAAATTGTTCAACTTTTGCATCATAATTTCACCGTATTATTACTACTTAATAGAAAATATTTAAAAAAACACTTGAAATCAATCGATTTTTTGTTAGCAAAATTACTTTATTTTTATGTTTTATAACATTGATACTGAAAAAATTGTTCAAATTTTGCGCCATAATTTTAATTTTTTATCTCTACTGAATAGAAAATACTTTAGAAAACACTTAAAATCAGTCAGTGTAATTGTTATTCTTGTTAAATCTATTTTATTTTATGTTTTAAAACATACTGGAAAAAATTTTGTGATTTTATTGACCTAATTACCATTTATTTTCAGTATTAAAAATGATTGCTTATTGCTACATATATTTTAAATAATTTGCAATAGGCAGAAAAAATAATTAATTTTCAAAAAAAACATAACATTTTCTGAAAAAATCCGACTCCGACAAAAATCTCCTACTCCGACTTTCTAGGTTACATACATATATTTGTTACTATTTTGTAAACTTTATTATTTTAATATGTATGTTTATTACTCACGGATCCGTGAAGAAATGCTGGATATTGCCTCCCACCACAAGGCCATTAATAAAGAAAATATTTGAAAAGCTACAGTATACAATATGCAAATTAACAGTAACGAGTCTAGGTTGGAGAAGGTTGACAAAGATGTATTCCATATCAAACCAAAAATAAATATTTTTTCAGTACCCTTTGGTATCCAAAGTTTTTTTATAAACTTGATGAATGGAACATTCTAACGTTAACGTCTTCTAAAATTAAATTTATTGTAAAAAATAAATATTTAAAAAATAAATATTTGTTAAAAGTTTTACTGGAATAAAAAATTAGCTCTTGAATGCTTTTTGAAAGTTTAAACTCATGAAACAAAGAAATGTGCTTTGTAGTTCGGTATCGAACAGCAGTGAGCTATAACTTTACAAAGATAGGTGAAAATATTTGCGTGATAACAACTTTGATCTATCGGATAGCTTTTTTGATGCTTTTTAAAATATTTCTTAATCGTTTGTCCATGTGAGTGAAGCAGATTTTTTAAATTGCAGTGACAAATTGTTCCACCTAACGTTCATTCAGTGCGACAGATTTGCTAAACTCTAATTACGCCCAAGTATGGGTACTGGTTTGGCGCGATTGCGCACTGATAATTACATGAATCTTGTTTCTGGGAAATTTACTGAAAATTTTGCTCTAAGCAAACAAAGTAAAATTAATCTAATTTGATTTTTTTTTATTATTTCAACAATAATAAAAACGTTTTAAGAAGCACGTTAAAAGTTAAAGAGAATGTCATAATCGTTAATAGTGTAAAAATGTAAAAATCATAAACTGGCACCCCATTTTCCGATACAGATTCATTGATTGTAAATTTTCCGAATCTGACTCCGGGAAAAAAATTGTAACTCCAAAACGACAACCGATGTTAAAATTACAAACGAATTTGCGATAAGTTCGTTTTTTCCTTGTACAGCCGATTTCTAACAGTTTATGGTGTTTCGTAAATTATTAGCAACTGGCGAGTAAGAAATGAATGTCAATTATTTTACATGCGTGGCTTTAAAAAAATCTTTTTTTAAGCTGTAAAAATTGAAAATGGTTTTTCACAGTGCATTTGGTGGTATCAATCTGTATTGAAGATTATTGATTATTGCTATACAAAATCCGAAATCATATAAAATCCGACACCAGCCTCTTTAAAATATCAGATTTCCACAAGAAGCTCCAACTTCAACACTTTCCAAAACTGATTAAAATCTTAATTTTTAAACAATCTAACTGTGATAAATATAACATAAAAAATGTTCTCATGAGAAGTTTTTTAAATCATAAATAAAACCCAATTTTGGATTTATTTCTGATTACTTCTTTAATAAATTATTTTGAAAATAGTATTAATAGTAATGTTATCACGAATAAATCATTCATTTTGAAAAAAGTATTAAAATGACATAACTGTTATCACAAAATTATATAATAACATTCTACTTTGATGTCAGAAAATCTATCAGCAAACAAGAAGCTTTGATATCGACATTAATTAATGAAGGCTACAGCAAAAATGACCCGCCTTCAACGGGTTTGCACCTTACTATTACATTGTGTTTTGTTCTGTTCATCATGTTCTCTGTCTACGTTTTATTATGTTTCACTTATTCACTATGTTGAACTCTCTTGATGAATTAAATATTTTAAATTGCTATAGTTGATGCAACAGAAGTTAAATTAGGAATTCGGATCAACAGTTTTTATTCTATCAGTGAGTCAACAATGGTAAAAATTTTAATCGTTGCAGTGAAAATATTCTAAAAGCTTTTTTTCTCAACAGGATTACATGGTGAGCTTCAACTTGCAACAACAGTGGCGTGATAAAAGACTGCAGTTCAATCCAAATGAAACTAAATTCAAAATGCTGAAACTTGGTGAAGGAACCTGGTTGAGAATATGGATACCCGACACTTTTTTTAGAAATGAAAAAAAGGCCAACTTCCACGATGTTACTGTGGCCAACCGTATGTTACAGCTGAACAGTACTGGTTATCTTCTTTATGTGACTAAGTTCGTTGCCAAATTATTGTCAGCATTCAATTTGTAAATTTTTTATTTAAATTAGTTGTTTCGAACAGTTTAAAATACAAATTATGTGATTTAAAATATTATTTCTAAACAAATCTTTTTTAAAACACTCATTTAGGCTTTTATAAATCAATTATTTTATAAATAATTTGCACCTTAGTGTTACATTGTGTTTCGTCATGTTCATCGTGTTCTCCACGTTTTGTTGTGTTTTACTTATTCACTATGTCAAACTCGCTTTATGAATTAAATATTTTAAATTGGTATCAGCTGATGCAACGATATAGGTAATATTCAGGACTGTTGTACTCGGTTTGAATAGGTTCATATTACGAATGTTCTGCGTCCGCAATTATCTGTGAAAACATTGCTCAAATAGTTTTTAGAGATTAACGTATGGTATCTGCGTATGATAGTTGTAGATTTATGCGCACAAAACTATGAAATTCAACAACATTGGTTTTAAGTTATTACTCAGACTTCGAACATAAACACCAGTACATAATACTGCACATCAACATGTGACACTGCACATTAGAGGTGGGCATGGGAACGTTAATTTTGAGACTCAGATGGTTGCTATGGAATCCCAATAGAAATTTGAATATTTCGGAAATGGGAATTTTGGGTAATAGAAAATCATGTGTGCAGGAATGGAAAATGTAAAATATGCTAAATTTCAATAACAAAATTTTTTAACAAAGTATACTTTAAATCAGCAATGTTCTATGCAATATAAAGCGCAAATGCATACACACATTTTTAACACGAACCCATTTACAATTTAAAACCTCATGGGTTTTATGCTATTGATGTTTTGAAATAGGAATACACAAGTCCGCCCATCCTTACAACGAGGTTTTACAACTTCGAGCGTTCGCATATTCGAGTTTGTCCAATATTTCCTAAATTTTTTAAGTAATCTGTTTTAATATTAAAAATTTTTTTTTTGTTAAACACAAATCATAATTAGTCTCCTGTTACAGCTTTTACAACATTTTGCATTTTTCATTTAATTATAATTTGAAACAAGTAAATTTAACATAACATTTTTCAAGTTAATTTTTCAGTTGCTTCTTTTTTGTCTTTCATGAAAACAAAGTTTATTTAATTTTTAATCGACATTTTGCAAAACTTTGACAATTTATGTTCTAGGTGGTTGGGCTAGATGAGTTCCTCAATAAACTCTATCACAATCTTCCTACCTTCTTACAATTACGTTGTATCATATTGAGGAGGAAATAAAAAATATTATATTTTATTGTATTGTACAGCTGTAAGGCTTATTGTATTTTTAATTGTATTGTTGTATTGTTAGTTTACAACCTAAAACGTACAGTAATAAATTTTACAAGTCTGTACATGTAACTTTGAGTGGGTCTCAACTTTTCAACATAATACATTCCGAAATAGTCTTTTTCAAGTTAATTTAATTTCTATTGCTTTTTCGGAATTAATTTCATTTAGAAGACTTTTTTTCAGCATCGTTGACGTAGTGTCTAACACATAAAACCTGGTCCTTATTTTTTACTTGTCTTTTAAGACGCATTAAAAACAGTATGTATTAAGTCAACATCTCATCATAATCATATGTATCAGTTTCAAACCATATTTATTTGATTTGTTTTTTAAAACATCAAAAATACATTACATTTTTAAATTTTGAAGAACCCTAGGGTTTTATCATTGGACTTATCTTTTTTTTGTTTAAACTGTCGATGTAATGTTAACGGTGGGGAAATATGGTTTTGGGTATTATGCGTTCGCTGACGATACACAGCTTGCGGTATGTTCTCCAGTCTTGTTTGGTTGTTTTGTCGACCTAGTGATTGTACTGGTGACGATAAAATGCTTACTTGACGAAATACCTGTGGCTGATTGGTCTTCTAAATTTATGAAGATATTTACTCCTCTCAGTCAGAGAACCTGCGGCGACATCCATTGCCTGGGAAATAGGCATCTGTAGATCTATTTGTCTGCATTTTTGATAACTAGTCGGCAGTTTATAACCTTAGACCAAAGACTATTTACTACATCAACGAAACAGAGATTAATTACTACGGTACATCGTCCGAGCAGAATTGTTACTCAGAAAAGTTTGAAGCAAGTTGTTGCTATGGTTTTGCAAAGACGTGGTCAGATAGTCACTCGGACTGTTTTAGTTAATGTTAGATTTAAAAATATTTTGTCATAGCAATAAAATTGCTTAACGCAGCAATTAAATAATAGTTCAACGTGCCCCGGTGTTTGGATCAATATGCCCCGTGAACAGAGTGGGTTGAACCGCATGACAGGCTTGTCAATATATCTTTTTATTGACAAAGAAACATGCTAGAATTGAATAAACTTCTTAAGATATGTAATTACATAATAATGACCTATTTCAAGAACTGTATTAATGCACTCTGTTTTGTTGATGTTAATTTGCAAGCTTTTTCTTTTACTTTCAAAAACCAGTTTTGAAACAATTGTTTGCAGTTTTTCCATTGATTCCACTATAAGAGCTATATCATCAGCATATCTTAAATTGTTTATATTCACGCCTGCAATGGATATTCCAGGTAGATCTTCCACCTTTCTCATGATGATCTCACTATAGAAATTGTACATGTACAAGTCTGAATAGAATACACAGCCTTGTCTAAAACCTTTTTTTTATTTTAACAAAACTAGTCATCTTGTTACCATCTTTCATCGCTGCTCTTTGGTTTCAATAGAGGTTGTTGATAACTCTTGTGTCTTTTTCATCAAAGCACAAATTTTTCAATATTTCCATAAGCTCCACATATTTCAAGCCATCAAAAGTTTTCGAGTAATCGACAAAACATATAAACAAGTCTTTTTTCATTTCAATCGCTTGTACACTGATCATTCGTAGCCTAAAGATAGCGTTTCATGTACCACAATTCTCGACAAAACCACATTGGACATTTAAAATTTCAGATCTGATTTCGCTTTGTGTTTTCATCATTAGAATTCTCAAAAGAAGTTTTGCTAGATGACTCATCAAGTTGATTGTTTGATGTGGTTCACATTTGGTAGCAGTAGGTTTTTTAGGTAATGCAATAATAGGAATTTGGCCGCTGTTGTATATCTTATTAAAAATGTTTGTCACTTTTTCAATGCCAAATTTATCAAGGCATTTAATTTCTTCAACAACTATCTCATCTAGGCCTGGTGCTTAATTTCATTTCATTTTTGAAAGAGCGGCACGAACTTCAGATCTAAATATTTTTGGTCTTTCTACGCCTTTTTTAATAAGAGGCTTTTTACCACGGATAACATCGAAAAGATCGTTAATTTATTAAGTCCATCTTTCAAGTACTTTTTTTTCTCTAAAATTATCTTACCGGATTTAGCTTTTATGCACCCAGAAACGATACAAGCCTTTTCCCAATGATTTCTTTGATGTTTTTACACATTGCATTTGTATTACTGTTTTTTTTATCTTTTTAGCAATTTTGCACATGTCATTTAACCATTATTCTTCTTCCTCAAAGCACATTTTTTTGATTATTTTGTCCAACTTTTTGTATCTGTCAGGATTGCAGCTTTTCACCTTCCTTCGTTCATTCATCAGAGATACGATGCCATCTTTTATCCATTTCTGACCTCTTCTTTGCTCCTTCACAAATATAACTTTTTTCGTGAGAGCATTTCATATTTAGATTTACTTACGTCTTTTGTCAATAACTGAAAACGATTCCGTACTTTAACGTTATACTTGACCTTGATTTCATCATTTTGCGTCAGACTGACAATATTCAAACGTTTTGGGGCCAATTCACTCTTGATTTTTTTAACTTTCCTGACTTTACAAACAACTGGGTTATGGTCACTGCCACAATCAGCTCCAGGGTAACTTTTAAATTGGAAATCAGCATTTAGAAATCGTCTATTTACGGTATTGTAATCAATCATATTTCTTACAGTGTCTCCGGGACTCTTCCAAATATATTTACGTTTTGGGTGATTGTCAATTTGTCATGCCAGATGTTGATAATAATTTGTTCATTTGTGACACACCATTCAATCAACTTTTCTCCTCTTTCATTTTTTTCACCTATCATCTGAAGACCAACTACAACATGTATTTCTTTTGAGTCAACTTTTGTATTCAGGTCACTCATCATGATAGCAACTTGTTGAAATTTACATGTTTTTAAAGCATCATCAAGATCACTGTAAAAAGCATCAAAAGCATCACTGCTTTAAGACGTTGGCGCATAAACTTGAATAATAGCTAGGTTGAAAGGTTTTGCGTCTATTTTGACCGCCCGGAAACCTGCTAAATATTTAGACATTTCTTTGTTCAAAAGTACATCAACTCCTCGTTCGTTTGAATCACCTCTTGAGTAGATAAATTTACCTTCTTCCAACGAGTTTTGCTCAAACCTAGAATGCTGAAATTCATTCTTTCTATTTCTTGTTTTACGTTCTCAAATTTCCCAGTCTGGTACAACGTTTTAACGTTCCATGTTGCCACAGTAAAAGGTGAATTCAATGTGTCACTATCATGGTATTTTTTGATTTAGTTCATGTTTATTTGGTAAAAGTTTTGGACCGTAAGTTACCATTACTTGCTATCAACTTTTTCTATGAGAAGGGTCGTGTCAAATAAAATTACATAAGATGAATAAATAGGTCAAACTATTAAATAAAAATAGATAAATCAATATAAATTACCTGAAGTTAATGTTTAATGATTAAAATTAATGAAAATTCAAAAACAATAATACGTGAAAAATCAAAAATAGTAATTTTGTAAAAAATTAAACCAATATAATGAAGTTATAAAAAGAACAAAACTGAATATACACGAATATTTAAGAGAGTAATGCCAATGAAAGGTTAAAAAATAAATAAGTGAAAACTAATTCAATGCAGTATACAAACAGTTTAAATTAGGAAAATGAAAATACTTAAAATAATATTAATGATAATGTTTTTTTAATAACTTCATAATATCTAACATTTACAAATTAAAGATTCTTATATTAAGCAGAATGAAATATGATAAAATGAGTAAATTGTAATAATAGGTCAGTATTGAAAGAACATTAAACACACAAAATTCAAATTAAATACGAACATTTTAATAATAACTACATTACTAGTATTTATATAAAATGGTTTCATCTTGTAAAAAAAACCACTATGATTATAAAAAAAACCTTTCATTGAATTACATTTGGTTTTAAAAAAAGTTATTTGTTTGAAAATTAACATTTACTGGTTAATATACCTACTAAATCTATTTTTCAATTTTATTTATTGAAATTTCGTATTTTGCTCAAAAATATAAATTTTAGGTAAATTTATTAAAAAATTTTGAACAGAATATCAGCCACATTTTCTTGCCAAATGAAACTTCAATATTATCCTCTTGACACCCAGTTCTGCCCGATAACAATTGAAAGTTGTTAGTGAAACCATCTTGAGTTAATTTTTCATAATTCAAAACCATTTTCAAATTGTTTCATTTAATCAGTTTTTTTTGATATATATATATATTTTTTTTTTACAATATTCTATAAATTCTACCGAATGTTTG